CTACGGCTGCCGTCCTTGCTTTACAGAAGACGCAGAGGAGACGTCATCATGCTCTACATGCTCATGACTGGTCTTCTGAACCTGAAGAAAGAAGACTTCTTCCAGGCTGCTCCATCGGCAAGCACAAGAGGTCATACGATGAAGGTGGCCAAACCAAGAGCTCTGACTAGAGTACGAAGAAACCACTGGAGCGTACGTGCGGTCAACGACTGGAACTCGCTGCCGGCTGAAGTGGTTCTCGCTCCGACCCTGAATGGGTTCAAGAACCTCCTTGACAGACACTGGTCGAGTCGTATGTACGATATCCCTACCATAAACTGAGTTTGAGCAAAGAGTACCGCATGAGCTCGACGAGATCGGGTCCAATAGGCCTCTGGCCTCCAATAGTCCCGCCAACATTAAGGTAAGGTAAGGTAAGGTAAAACTTCCTTCGAATCCTTCGTCACGAATGGTGCTAGGAAGGAAAACTTCACCAGAGATCACGTGACTGGATATGGCAGTGTGCCATATCTCATGCCCTCCGGCGCCCTGTTTTCACCGGCGTCCTTGGTTTGGAGCAAGGCTATATAAACCAGGTAGAACGTTCCCGACGAAAAAGTGGTGACAAGCGATAATTAGTAGCCGCGACCCTCACTTGTTCAAAACTATATCCGCAAGCAGCATTTACAGGCTAGCGGAAATCGACCAATCGGCGTTCGGCAATACTCGACGCTGATTGGCCCGATGCTCGTGACGAAATTGCGGGGGACTGTAGCTATTCCCCTATGGCGTTTAATAGACTTACGGCTTTTGAAGGGGATTTATACCAGTTTTTGTTGGGTTTGAGGCCATTTTTGAGCTTGGATATTCTTTCTGTGACTTTTGACTGTGTAATAACGACATTTAATCATGACATTCTATATACTACCGGTGTCACATCGGCCAAAAAGACCGTAAGTACATGGGATAGACGGACCACTGCTGATGGGGCCACACATGTCGGCGTGTGGTCATCGGAGGTCCGTGAGGGTTCGACATAGACCCTTCATGGGTCGGTATAGGCCCGGTGGGTCCAGTGTGCAAGCCTATCGGGGGCCGGTGCTGACCCAACAGGGCCCAGTGGCATATAATGTAAGGCTGTCTAGGCCGACGTTGAGGGCTCATGGGGGCCATATAGGACCAATAGGGACCACATCAGTCAATCAGGGGCCATTTAGGCCAATAAAGGCACTTCAGGGGACTTGAAAAGGTCATTCAAGAGCTGTGGTGGGCCCATGAGGGGACGGCATTGGTCCAGCAGGTGCAGTCAGGGGATGTGCCCGATGTTGTACGGGTATCTCAGTGGCCCATTTGGGCATATCAGTGACCAATTTGGACCCAGCAGAGGGCTTTGTAGACCTATCAGGGGCTGGTGATGGTTCATCAGGGGCCAGCGTTAGTCCATCGGGGCACGGCATATGCCCATCAGAGGTAATTGCGAGCCCACGCTGAACAATGATGGCCCTTCAACGGCCCCTAATGGATCTACATTGACCCATGGGCCATGATGTGTCATGTATGCCCCTATGACAGGCCTACTCAGACCCCTGATGGACATTCCCGGCCTCTGATGACCCTATACTGAATGCTAAAGGGGCTCTAAGTTTCTCCAATAACCCTTCGTCAACCCATTATTACCATACGCTGGCACTAGGGGCCCCACATCAGCCGCAGGGCAGTCCGTGCCATGACAGCATGTCTTTTCGGCCGATATTACATCGGTAATATTTATTAAAATCATGATTTTATGGTGTCATTATATAGCTAACAGTCATAAGAAATATATTTCAACTCGAAAACAGCTCCAAACAGCATATAATTTTAAAGAAACTCCTCCGAAATCCAAAAGCCTATTCGGGTCCATAGAGAATAACTGCGGTCCCCCGCAATTTCGTCACGAGCGTCGGACCAATCAGCGTCGAGTACTGCCGAGCGCTGATTGGTGAATTTTCCGCTAGCGTGTAAGTACTGCTCGCGGAACAAGAGTTCGTCGACAATCCTCCACAAACGTCTGTCACCATTTTTCGTAATGCTAAACAGCCGGAGCGTACCCCCCTGGTTTGGAGCAAGGCTATATATATAGTTTGGAGTATTATAGAGCTCAGTGGTTTGGACTGGAGCAAGGCTATGTGATTTAGAGATAGACGGAGGGTAAGTATCGTAAATATGCAGACAGAGGTGTAAAGAATCTTGGACCAGAGGTTGGAGGAGGAAGGTTGGTTACCTTACCTTACCTACCTTACCTTACCTGATCGGAATTTAGAGGCCACTTGGCCTGTAGGGAACCGTTCTCATCGAGCTCTTGACATATTTCAATTTGATCTTTCTAACTCCTATCAGGTATCTTGTACCTGATGTTTGCCCAGTGGGCATCCAGTCTTGATTTGAACTGCTCAATAGAAGCAGCGTCCACGACCGTTTGAGGCAAGCCGTTTCAATCATTGACGACCCTAACACTGAACGATTTCCTCCTTGATCTGGTGTCGGCTCTGGGCTTCTGGTTGTCTAAGCTTTATTTGGCTCCATGATAAGTTCACTATATACCGTAAACCGGGGTGACAATGATACCCGGGGTGACTTTGATCATAGACCAATTTCGGGCCTCAAATGAGCATTTCATTTTGATTTAGCTGCTGTGAACTGTATTTGCTATGCCAATGATTAAATAAAGCAATGAAGCATTATAGCAGACACTTTGGGTCCCAGTTAGAATAATCATGTTGATGTCACAGCTTGTTTTTTTGTTGTCATTGGCATGAAGTATAAATTCGCTAGCATCTCCAGCAATAATAATGGTAAAGATGAGAAAGACCCAGATAAAGAAAGATAAAGGAAAGGCTTTGATACTGATGATGGAGGATGAGCATTGAGCTGCTCTACTCAGTGGTAATTGGAGCGTCAATGGGAAGTAAAAAAGACAATCGACTGGGAGTGGCATGAGCAGTGTGGCAAGCAGTCCCACAGCCACCAGCAGACAAAGTGTGATGTAGAACAGGTAGCCTGTGGCTTAGGACATCTGTGACTGCTACTTAATCTTGAAGTCAGAGGTTAAAGTAGCCAATTTTGCTACTTATAGCTCTGTAATGTGAGTGTAGACCCAGAGCATGCAACTTTATTTTAATACCTCAATGATTCATAGCTTTGCTGTAAAATGTTTGAGTTTATGTCAAGCAAAGCCTTTGCTTTTATTTAAAACATGTAAGTTTATCACACAAACCCCTTCTGAGGGCTCCTATGGCACATATAAGGTGATTTTAATGTAGTGATCATAGTCACCCTGACCTCTGGGTGAGAATGATCAATTTTTTTGTTAAAAAATAAAATATTTATGATAAATTTCAAGACATTTATTGTACTCAGTTAGATAGAGAATTGTCCAATTGGTATGAGGAAACAGTTTCGAGAGTGAAATCTCAAGTGATATAGGAGATATTGTACCATACTGGTCAAAAGTGATACAAAGTCACCCCGGTTTACGGTACCGTGATACCGGGGGTAAATCGAAATCAAACTGTAATGACATTTTCGGTTAAATGGCCTTGTTTAGGTTGGGTCAGGGATTAGAGGTACCTACAGGTGGCCTTGACATCCACCCTAATGCAAGGGAGCAACATCATATTACATGTTTGAAAGCTTGAAACCACGAAAAGACTGCAAACCAAAGCGCATGGGTAATGCGAAGCGACAAATGCTGAATCTGGTTTCAGGTCAAACATGGCCAAAGTAGGATCAGGGTCATGAAAAAATGCATGTTATGCTGAATATGTCCGGCGTGGTGGCGGCCTGGCGGGATTGTGCCGAAAATTTCCGCACACGTCCGGCGTATCTTCGCATGTGTCATATTCAGCGCATGGCGGCGGCGGAATTTTTCAGTGCAGGGTGGCTGCAGATTTTTCGGCGAAAGGCAATCACCCAATTTAGTTGGCATGCTGGTCAATCTAGTCTAGCAGCAGATTCACCCTGCAGTCGGCTCTGGAGAGGTTTCGGGACGAGACGTCCCAGCCCCGGTCGCCGCATGCTTGAACTGGTGACCCGCCCTGAGTCTTATACTCAGCAGTCAGCAGAGGAGCGGCCGCCCAGGTGAGGCCTCAATCCTCGGCGTGGAGATAGGCTTGGAAGACCTTGTTGAACATCGCAGAGCGTAGTTAAGTAATGGGTACTGCAGTGAGTTCATGTCCACTGCGGTTTTGACGGGAATGAGAGTGCGGAGTGCGGACGCCCTGCGAAACTGAAACAAGGGGCCATCCTGCCCTCACACGCCTGCTTGCTAACCAGGGCGGTTCATTGTGCCGCCTCGTATCAATGGCGCGATAACTGGTCCGAGTCACTATTCAAGCCACTCCTCGGGAGCACACTGCTGCCCCATCCCCGTATAGGACCAGGAGGACGCTGTTTCGGTGCACCAGATGAGAGCGGGCCACTGGGGCCACACGATCCAGTACGCTGTACGTGCACCGAATCAGCTGCCCACTGCGCGGCGTACCAGCAGTGCCCAGAGACAAGCGGTGCCGTTCTGCGCCGTGTGCTGAGAAGAGGCTGATGGGGCTGATGTGCCAGCGCATGTGCTGCTTCACTGCCCGGCCCTCGCTGGCTCCCGCCAGCCTCGAACACACTGCTCCGCCGATTTTTGTGGCTCCGGAACTTCCGGCTCCAGTCTTGTTTCACGGCACGACGCTACAGTGCGCACTGCGCTAAGCGTATTGAGGCATTGGGTTTCCACTTTCCGTGGAAATACTTATTCTGACGCTCAAACATGGGAGAGCGTCCAAAGCCCCGAAATGCTCTGTCTGGTTGATATAGCCTTGATTGGTAGATGTGTGCATCCACATATGCACATGTGCTATATAAAAATGGCTTGATTTTGGCACAAATATGGACCCAATTTTCAGCGCCAATCATGCAGAAATTTCAGCGCAAAATCGCTTGCGCCGAATTTCGGCGCAAGAGGGTCTCACGGGCGTCTGGCGTAGTGTATGGATGTTTTCCAGTCTGGTAACTGAGGTACAATTTGAGATATCATCAAACATGACAGCTGGTCAACTTTAGCCGCAATAGGCCGATATCCCTAAGGTGGCGCAATATGACCTCTCTCCCCTAGGCCCTACTTTGGGTTTAATGGTGCTTCATGCTTGGACATTCTCATAATAGCACATTTATCATTAATTTTACTGTCTGACTTCACCTATCATTGAATGCAAGCCTGTTGTTGATTATCCATTAATACAAATACAATTACAACCAGTTTTCCCAGTCATTCTTTCAAAAAATATCATGCTGTGTTCATTTTTTTACAGTGAGGGCTGCAATTCATTAAAACAGACTTAAGTCACAAACTTGCAGGGAATTTTACTGTTGACAGTTGTATTGGTATCAGCATAGGCTGAAAAGCATGCGAAGCAAACAAAATAAATTGTCTGATGATTTTGTTACTGGGCCCCCTGCGCCTCTGTCTCAACAAAAGTTGCCAACAAAGGCTGATATTGTCGGCTACATCAAGTGGTTGTGTGTAGAGTCAAAGTTAAATCATCCTACCAATGCCATATTCGCTATAGTGGCGGATGAAGTCGCTAGTATATGGACAAGTGAAGAAATACCTATCCATAACTTGAAATTTATCAAACGACTACTGAAAAAGAAGTGTTATGGTGCATACCAAGTAGCTCGGAAAATCGGGAGGCCAAACAGAGAGCATAAGAAAGCTGCCCTTCAGAAATTGCACGAGCTGTTTGACATAGCGTTGTGTAAGTGCAAGTTTCAGAGTCAGTGCGAGTGCCCCAAAGAACGCAGAGTGCCTGAAGACAAGTTTGACCTCCTGAAGGACCAGCGTCCTCGTGATGTCGATGTGAGTTGGTCACCTGACTGAGCAGCTGATGGCATCAGCAAAGATTCCTTCATAATGAGAGTGAGTCACCCAGTGTGGATCAGATGAGTTTAAACTGAGAGAGACAAGTTTCTGTGATGAAGTCAGAGTGAAAAAGCATCTCCTGACTCCTACTGGTGAAGGACTACTATATCAATCCAATACAAAAGAACACATGTGATGTGTGTCTTGTGAGTTGTTGGTCAGGCTAGAGAGATCTGCAAAGGAAAGATTTACTTATGTACAGTATTTTAGCAATGAGTGTACCTATGCTGAGGCTGCTGTTTGAGTTGTGCTGCTTGCCCAGCTGATTTGATGATATTGATTTGATTGTGTTGCAGGTGAGCTGCTCCTCTAGGGAAGAAGCGATGGGTGCCAATCAGGCGGACGATGACACCTGCTCACTCATTATGGAGTGTGAGGTGGAGGACCTGTCAGAAGTGCAAATGGACTGCTTCTTAGAGTCTAAAAAGGCATATGAAGATGCAGTCAGAAAAGCCAATAGTAAGTTTTACTTTTACAGGCTTTATGAGTCCTCAGCTTGGTTTATCTTCGTTTATCTTCCATAGCTGTCCTGCACACATTGATGCTGAGCCAAATTGTTTCGGTATCGATTATTGTGCTTTGATAATTGATACAGGTATTGCTTTTAGCTGTTTTTAGCCTTGTAGCTTATCCCTCGCGGAACCCTTTTTGTGTACACACATTCGCCGTTTTCTACATACCTACTTTATACATTGGTTAGTTGGTTGGTTGGTTCAGATGGGTTGGTTGGTTGGTTGGTTGGTTGGTTGGTTGGTTGGTTGGTTGGTTGGTTGGTTGGTTGGTTGGTTGGTTGGTTGGTTGGTTGGTTGGTTGGTTGGTTGGTTGGTTGGTTGGTTGGTTGGTTGGTTGGTTGGTTGGTTGGTTGGTTGGTTGGTTGGTTGGTTGGTTGGTTGGTTGGTTGGTTGGTTGGTTGGTTGGTTGGTTGGTTGGTTGGTTGGTTGGTTGGTTGGTTGGTTGGTTGGTTGGTTGGTTGGTTGGTTGGTTGGTTGGTTGGTTGGTTGGTTGGTTGGTTGGTTGGTTGGTTGGTACGACCCCCTCGCCGTTTCGCACCTAATTGAGCTAGAGCCTCGCGAAAAGGAGCGTATGCGCCGTTACGAGACGCATCGAGACGCGACGTGTTTTTTCTGTTCTTTGTCGTGGAATAGGGGTGTGAATTTCAACCCTTTCAAAAATAACTTCTTTTGGCACACTTCATTTACATTTGGTAAAATTTTGAAAGCAATATCTTTTTGTTGTCTGGTTGTGTTTTCCAAGAGCCGTTTACGAGCTGCCCATTCAGCGTATTGTGCTGTTCTGTTTCAGGTCTGCTGGGGGGAGTGGCGGCCCCGGCTCCGGCAGTGGCTGTGGCTGCCCCGCCAGCGGCGCCGGCGCGTCACCTCGCCGCCGCGCCGTCTCCGGAGCGCGCTGCGCCCTCCCCCTCCCCCTCCCCGCCGCCGCCGGCGTCACCGCCGCCGCCGCCCTCGCCGCCGCCGCCGCCTCCTCCGCCTCCGGCTCCGGCGCCGGCGCGGCCCAAGTCTCCGGCGGCCAGCGCGCCGTTGCCGCTGGCCGAGGACCGGCCGTTGGCCATCTCGGTGGGTGTCGCGGCGCCGCGCCGACCACCGGCACGGGACCACCTGGGTCATCTGATTCCCAACGCAGATTGTGGTGTAGGCTATTGAAAATGTGGTAGCGTAACTTTTTATTACGTAGCTGGTCACCAACTTCTAAGTGAGAGCTTTGCTCACCATTCTCAATCGGTGTAACCCACTGCTAAAGTAATATTAGTTTCTGCCAATCTCAACAGATGGTTTCAGAATAATATTAATAATAATAAATAATAATAATAATACAGGTTTCTTTCGTACCGAAATCGGTACATATATGGTATACACATCAGCACATTAACAAACACATGGTGCTTATGTGTGTTTGTGTGTGTGTGTGTGTGTTTTTTTTTTTTTTTTTTGCTTTGACTTTTTAAATACGGAGTGATCTAGTGGAATGCAGCAAAAGATGAGCTTGCAGCTCCAAGGATGGTGGCACTTGTATGCTACGTTCCAAGTTTCATGATGGTAGTCTGACGAATTGTTCCTAATATACAGATGCAAAGCTTAACCATTACTGACGCCTCACATCACTTAAGCGGTGGCCTGTACCAACTGAACAGTTAATGTCTACTAGCTGCGGTGCTTACTTAATCTAAGGATGTATCACGGCATCTACTATGGACGTCAAACCCCTTGAGACCCCACTTTTTTGCGATAATTTTTAAATGCGTCAACTCTCGTTGACAATATTCTGGCAATGTGTGTTTTAGAACCTGCCGAAACTTTTATTACTAAGGTATTTTGACGCCAAACGATTATGAAAGGTACTTCTCATTCACTCGTAATGCTAAATTTCACGGAACGAATCTGCTCTTTGGGTAGAGGCTACGCGCTCATGGGGCGGAGCCACGCAATGACGTCAGCGCTAAGCTCCGCCCTACCCCTCCGGCGCTCCTTGCCCGGCGACCGTTCACTCGCGTCTCTCGCTCCATTCAGGCTTGATGGTGGGCGGTAGCTGGTAGCGGTAGCCTGGCGGTAGCGGGCGCTGGTAGATGGCATTTAGAGCAGATGGCGCTGGTGGCGGGGCTCGAGTGTAGCCGAGCACAAGCCTCTGCCCGGGCCTGAATTGACCTTAGCATTACGAGTGAATGAGAAGTACCTTCCATAATCGTTTGGCGTCAAAATACCTTAGTAATAAAAGTTTCGGCAGGTTCTGAAACATACATTGCCAGAATATTGTCAACGGAAGTTGACGCATTTAAAAATTATCGCAAAAAGTGGGGTCTCAAGGGGTTTGACGTTCATAGTAGGCAGCCTGCTACGTGTCGCCTGATGTGCTGTGCTTTCAGTTTGTTTGTTGATGTCGCCTGCTACCGCAGAGTTGGACGTTCCCTCTCCCCGGCCTGTGCTCCACTGCTCTGATGTGACCGCTGGCCGGCAGAGCGTGTCCTCGGAGATCCCGCGGCCGGGCCGGATCTCGCTGCGTCGCGACCTGGCCGCGGCGCCGTCCTCCCAGCTGTCGGTGGACACCAGTCCGGCGCCGGTGCCGGCCGCCCCGCCGCCGCCGCCGCCGCCGCCGCCGCCGCCGGTGGCGCGGCCGGTGGCGCGGCCGTCGCGGCGCGTCGAGTCCGTTCCGCCACCCGTCCGCACCGGCATGAGTGAGTGCGCGCGCCGCCGAAAAGCTGACACTTCGTCAACTTTCAGAACCGTCAGTTGCTGATACTGTTTGGCCCAGAGTTGACAACCTACTAGTGTTTCCCTTCACACCATGTGTGCAGTTAATGAACACATTAACTTAAACAGAAATTTTAGAACGGCGAGTTCGAAAATAAGGTTTTGTCTTTTCCAAATCCCATCTCACATTATGTTGACTGATGAGTTGATTTCGGTTTGCCGTGTCTGACTTCGGCCTGGTGCCGTGTCTGGCGCCATGCGTCCGTTTCTGACGCCCTGTGACCATTTCTGACGCCCCCCCCTGTGACGGTGTGCAACGCCCTGGTGCCGAGTCTGACGCCCTGGTGCCGAGTCTGACGCCCTAGTGCCGTGTCTGGCGCTCTGGTGCCGTGTCTGACGCCCGGGTGCCGTGTCCGGCAGATGTGAATGTGCCGGTGGGTGTTCTCCAGCCGGCGCGGTCCGAGGCGGGCTCGGCGGACGGCGAGCCGCCCCCTGCCGACCAGGAGGCGCGCGAGATGCAGGCGCAGACGTATCCGGCGCTGCATGTGACGGTCCGCTCGCCGTTCGCGCTCACTCCGGCCAACAAGGCCGGCTACAGCGCGCGCCGCTCCATGCTCGGTACGCAGGCGGGGGCGCCGGGTGACGGCCGGGCAGCGGGGGGGGGGGGGGGGGCGGCGGTACGTCAGCTGTGGGATGGTGTGTGCGCTGTGTTCGGCCGTACTCTGCGGTGCGGGCTGCTGACGGGCGGCGGGGTGGGTGTCGGGGGTACGTCTGTGTTGTGCCGTCTGCGGTGCGAGCTGCTGACGGGTGGCGGGGGTACGTCTTTGTTGTGCCGTCTGCTGACACCCCTGCCCCGTCCACTCGGCGGCCCACAGACCAGCGCGTGAAGAAGGTGCTGCTGAACACGCCGAGCCAGTTCACCGAGTGGCTGATCCAGACGCGGCTGGTGCGCGCCGTCCAGTACTGTCCCGTGCACCCGGTCACCTTCGACGGACAGCCGCGCCAGCTGCGGCTCGGCATGTTCACCGACTCGGACAAACTGATACAGTCCGGAGGTGAGTCAGTGCGGACAAACTGATCCAGTCCGGAGGTGAGTCAGTGCGGACAAACTGGTCCAGTCCGGAGGTGAGTCAGTGCGGACAAACTGGTCCAGTCCGGAGGTGAGTCAGTGCGGACAAACTGGTCCAGTCCGGAGGTGAGTCAGTGCGGACAAACTGGTCCAGTCCGGAGGTGAGTCAGTGCGGACAAACTGATCCAGTCCGGAGGTGAGTCAGTGCGGACAAACTGGTCCAGTCCGGAGGTGAGTCAGTGGGGACAAACTGATACAGTCCGGAGGTGAGTCAGTGCGGACAGACTGGTCCAGTCCGGAGGTGAGTCAGTGCGGACAGACTGGTCCAGTCCGGAGGTGAGTCAGTGGGGACAAACTGATACAGTCCGGAGGTGAGTCAGTGCGGACAGACTGGTCCAGTCCGGAGGTGAGTCAGTGCGGACAGACTGGTCCAGTCCGGAGGTGAGTCAGTGGGGACACACTGGTCCAGTCCGTAGGTTAGAGTGGGTACTGTCCGGAGTCAGTGCGGACAAACTGGTCCAGTCCGTAGGTTAGAGTGGGTACCGTCCGGAGTCAGTGGGGACACACTGGTCCGAGTTCAGTAAGGCCTTGAGTCAAGTTATCAGGGCCGAAGGGGGCAGACAGCATTTTTTTTTCGTGTTCGGAGCAATCTGATCTGGTGTGAAGACTTCCAACCGGTGAACTGATGCATTTCACGACAGGACCTGGGCCCAGTTCATATAGAAAAGCCGGTCGATAAGTGTCACTTTGCCAAGGTGTCACTTGCCATTTGCCAAAGAGGCACATTTGGGAACATTGGTGCAGGACAGGTGTGTATTGTGTAAGGGTGGCTATATGAACCCCTAAAGAAGCCGGTTCCTAAGGAATTGTGTTTGAATGAGGTGCCGGTTGGTTTCCGATGCGCCTGCTGCCAGCGTAGCGGCGGTCCGCTCCGACTGTGCCCGCAGTGCCGCTCCGCCGCTCTGACTGTGCCCGCTGTCCGCCGTACCGCTCCTACTGTGTCCGCCGTACCGCTCTGACTGTGCCCGCTGTCCGCCGTACCGCTCCTACTGTGTCCGCCGTACCGCTCCTACTGTGTCCGCTGTCAGCCACTGTGACTGTGTCCGCGGTGCCCGCTCTGACTGTGCTCACCATCCGTCTCCGGCAGGCTACGTGTGGGTGAAGAACTGCTGCCGGCCCAAGTTTCTGTCGGTGCACTACGGCTCGCTGTTCGACGCCAACCGGTTGAGCGGCACCAACACGCTGCCGGTCCAGGTGCTGAAGCTCATGTACCACTGGTCGTGCCAGACGCCGCTGCACAACGTCATCCAGTGGCTCAAGGTGCGGCCGGCGCTGGTGGACGAGGTGTACGGCTTGCTGCGCGCCGTCTGCATGCTCAAGACGGAGGAGCCCGCCGGCCAGCTGGGCGGCGGCGGACGCGTCGTCCAGGTCGGGCTGGTGTCGCTCGGCACCTCCGGACCCGACGGACTCAACAAAAACGTCAAGGTCAGTGCTACCAGTCTCTACAAGGCAGCTCTATTTTGTATATCGGATTCGGGCGAGCAAGTTAGCAGTGTTGACGTTGCTAGGTGGCTGTTGATTGTTACGTAACTTTTTGACATAAATGATGGCCGCACTGCCAGCCATTTTGTTCCAAGTGAAGTTATCGCTCATCTTGCCCCGCCCTCCGCGTTTCGCCCTTTTCACTGCTCGTTCCCGTGTCTCCCTGTGCTTTCCCTCTCTCAGCGCTCACGGCTCAGTCCTGTCTCTCTGCAGGTGGAGGCAAGATTACTTTACTGGTGGAGGTGCCCGGTGCCTCCCCTGTCTCTCCCCAAACGTGGAGGTGCCCGGTGTCTCCCCGTCTCTCCACAGGTTGGGATGCCCGGTGTCTCCCCTTTCTCACGGCTCGTCCCCGTTTCTCCGCAGGTGGAGGTGCTCGGCGTCAAGGATGAGACCACCGGCGAGATCCGCATGGTGGGCTTCGAGCCGCGCATCAAGAACCGCATCCGGGCGGTGGTGAGCGCCGTGCAGGACTGGGTGCAGGCGGAGAGCAGCCTGCTGCTCGACCACAGCATCAGCCCGCAGCCGTTCCGCGCCCACTTCCAGGAGGTGGCCAACGCGCCGCCGGCCAGCAAGGACATCAGCGGCAACATCATGCACTACCTGCGCAGGAGCATGCCCAGGATGTTCCAGGTGAGGCCGCAGCCGGCGGAGACCTGCAGGACTTGGCTGGACGCCGGAGGAAGCCGGGCAGTACAGTGGAGACGGGTAGTTATTGTAGTGGGACAATACTTTTTTAATGTCAATGCTGTATGCTTAGTTATCTTGTCTGCTTTCCTCGACTTTCTGTCGTTGTCCTGACCAGCCACCCATAACCTGTCTCTGGCATCAGTATCAGTATGACCTGCAGTCTCCCGTCGTTAGTACATTGAGCTCTGGCCTCCCATCCTCCAGTCACTGGGTGTGCGAGTCACTACCCGATGTTTCCACGGTGTCTTTGATTCCTTGCGTGAATCGCTCACCTCCCGTGCGCCGTATCCCACCTGAGCCCAGCAGTTTGTGCCCGTCTGACCCCAGTGTTTCTGCCCCCGTCTAACCCGCTGTCCCCATCCTCCAGTGAGCCACTGTCCTCTCCCTGCCCCGTCCTCCAGTTAGTCTGTCTGACACCCTGCCCCGTCCCCCAGTGAGTCCCTATCATCTCCATATCCCGTCCTCCAGTGATTCTGTCCGACACTCTGCCCCGTCCTCCAGTGATTCTGTCTGACACCCTGCCCCGTCCTCCAGTGATTCTGTCTGACACCCTGTCCCGTCCTCCAGTGAGTCTGTCTGACACCCTGTCCCGTCCTCCAGTGATTCTGTCTGACACCCTGCCCCGTCCTCCAGTGATTCTGTCTGACACCCTGTCCCGTCCTCCAGTGATTCTGTCTGACACCCTGCCCCGTCCTCCAGTGATTCTGTCTGACACCCTGTCCCGTCCTCCAGTGAGTCTGTCTGACACCCTGCCCCGTCCTCCAGTGAGTCCCTATCTGACCCCCTGTCCCGTCCCCCAGTGAGCCACGTCTGACACCCTGCCCCGTCCCCCAGTGAGCCACGTCTGACACCCTGCCCCGTCCTCCAGGAGTCTCTGTTTGACCATCGTTCCCCGTATGCCCGCAGGCGTCTCTGGTGTTCCTGAATCCAGCCGTCATCTGCCAGTTCATCGCCGAGATCGCCTGGCGCGAGAGGTACGGCCGGGACCCCAACAGCACCTTCAGCAACCTGATCAACCACCTGGGCACCCTGACGCAGCAGTGCGGTGAGTTCTGGCACGGCAGCAGCACGGCCCAGCAGTGCATAAGATCGGGATACACTGCAGTGCAGACTGAATATGCGCGCACCGGCAATCACCTTACGAGCTCGCGGTGTGCGGTATGATGGAAATTACGTGTGTTTAATTAAGAATTTATAGAATTATTTTAGTTTCTACGCTGGAATCGGTCGGTGACGGGCCCGTGTCCTTACAGAGGGGCCGCTGATCACCATGCTGCGGAAGGTGCTTGTCAGTCCGTCCATGGACCTCAAGCGGAAACCCCGGAAACAGGTGAGCGCGAGTATGTCGTGAGACGACCATACAGACACGCTGACTGCGTACCAGCTGGAGAGAGCATAGATGGCAGGTTCGGGCAGAGCCTACAGTATGTTGTCAGTGTGTCTGCGATGAGTGATGCACGGGCTGAAAGCTATTCCCATAAGTGCTGCGTGATCGTGGTGAAGTAGCGTTATGGAGTTAACCGCCCAGTCAGCCCGACAGCGATGACTGACCGCCCCCTCCCCTCCCCAGAAACTGGCCACCCGGCCCGACAGCCAGCCCGAGTTCCCGGGCCAGCCGCCCGAGCCGTCCGCCTCGTCGCCGGCCGTCAGGGAGGGGTCGGGCGCGCGGAGCGCCACCGACAGCCCGGCGCCGACCGCCGACCAGGTGAGACGGAGCGCCACCAGCAGCCCGGGGCGTCGGGTGAGATAGAGCGCCGCCAACCGCCGACCAGGTGAGAGCGCCACCAGCAGCCCGGTTCCAGGTGAGACAGAGCGTCACCAACAGACCGGCGCCAGGTGGGACGGAGCGCCACCAACAGGCCGGCGCCTGGTGGGACGGAGCGCCACCAACAGCCCGGCCCAGGAGAGGTGAGACGGAGCGCTACGAACAGTCCGGCGCTAACCAGGTGAGAGCGCCATCAAAAACACGGCGTCAGGTGGGACAGAGCGCCACCAACAGCCCGGCGCCAGGTGAGAGCGCCGCCACCAGCCCGGCGCCAGGTGAGACGGAGCGCCACCGACAGCCTGGCGCCGACCGCCGACCAGGTGAGACGGAGCGTCACCAAAAGCCCGGCGCCAGGTGAGACGGAGCGCCACCAACAGGCCGGTGCCGGGTTAGAAGGAGCGCCACCAACAGACCGGCGCCAGGTGAGGTGAGGCGGAGCGCCATCAACAGTCCGGCGCCAGGTGAGAAGGAGCGCCACCAACAGCCCGGCGCCAGGTGAGAAGGAGCGCCACCAACAGCCCGGCGCCAGGTGAGACGGAGCGCCACCAACAGCCCGGCGCCAGGTGAGAAGGAGCGCCACCAACAGCCCGGCGCTAACCAGGTCTGGTGAGAGCGCCACCAACACTCAACAGCCCGGCGCAAACCCTGTGAGACTGAGCGCCACCAACAGCCCGGCGCCAGGTGAGACGGAGTGCCACCAACAGTCCGGCGCCAGTTTATTGTTTATTGTTTATTTCTCCAAAAACAACCACAGGCCAATGCCCAGTTACGGCTGCAGTCAAAGCTCCACACAAACACCACACACGCAAGCACAAAAAAAAAACACACACACACACACACACGGACATCCGTGTGTGTACTAAAGTCTAGATAAAATATATAAATAATTACATGAGGATATGATAGTAAAAGTGGAAAAACACATAAATATGGGCATGATAAAAAATGATAGAAACCCATGTTAAAGGATGCGCTTGAAAAGCAACAAAAAATGTAACAAAAAATGTTACCATCCACCGGATATCCAGCTGAAATGGCAAAGATATCAAGAATAAACGCAAGTAAAGTCTAAAAAAGAGCCTAAAAACGAGCACGAGGCTGATGGGAAAACACAAAATGTGACATAAAAGTTGCACAAAATACAGCAAGTCGCCATCGAGCTGGCAAATGCTCACAAAAAGGTACCCTGACTTCCCGCAAACCGAACTATATCCTATCTTAAAGGGACTATCCCACCTTCTAAAATGTTGTTAAAACCAGTTAAATTGTGCCCGACTTTATAGATTGGATGACCAGGAACACGGTTCTGGCATTAATTTTTCATTTAACATCTTAGGCTTCCCATATTCCAAACACAAACTTTCAAATATGTGACGTCACAGCCCAAAGTTACCTCCTTCCCCAGGCCACATTACTGTCATAAAGCTGATTCTTTTTACTCTGTAGGCACCACAACAAAGTTCAGACCAAGTTTTAAGCGATTTTTCAACGAACAAACCCATTTAAATCAGAATGACTAAACGAGGTGACGTCACACTAACTGTCGCTCCATGTTGAAGATAGGGCCTTGTACAAGGCCCATTTTCAAATGAAGGGAACGAATTTCTTCAACACCAAGAGGCCGCGGGGGTTGCAACCTAGATAGATAGTGGTTTCTGAACCTCGCCGCAAACTTGGCTATCTCAACTCAAACCCCATGTTAAAGGTGGGATAGTCCCTTTAAGGACCGGGATGGTTGAAATAAGTCAGTATGGGGACTGCTCTGCACGAGAGAGTTGAGCAGCTGAGGTACTCGCACCAAAAAGCCTCTCCTCACCGAGTCTACTCTGCCACTTCTAAGAGGTACGTGAAACAGCTCAGGGCGTCGCGTGCGTCGGCCTGGTACAGACAACGGGAACATTCCCACGATGTCGGCACAGTCTACTCGGCCGCTCAGTGCTGAACGCGCGAACATCAGATCAGACTGAGTCAGACGGGCCTTGATAGATGCACAACCGAACGTGTTTAACAGTGACTGGTAGTCGAGCGGCGAACATGAAGGCCGAGTTATGGCACCCAGCCACATCAAAAATCGGTGCTGAAGGCGCTCGAATCTACGCAGGTGAGTAACAGCGGCACCAGACCAGATAACACTTGCGTATTCTACTACGGATCGCACGTGTGCTTTGTAGGCGGCTAGAGTAGCAGCGGGGTCGAATTTTACTCTGTGTGTGCGATTAGACACCTGCATGCTCCGCATGAGCAGCCCCAACATACGATTGGCCTTTGCGACGGTAGCATCTACGTGGTCAGCGAATGTGAGCTTAGTATCTAGGAGTAGTATCTAGCTTAGTATCAGTTGAGGTGAGGCGGAGCGCAACCAACAGTCCGGCGCTAACCAGGTGAGAGCGCCATCAAAAACACGGCGTCAGGTGGGACAGAGCGCCACCAACAGCCCGGCGCCAGGTGAGAGCGCCGCCACCAGCCCGGCGCCAGGTGAGACGGAGCGCCACCGACAGCCTGGCGCCGACCGCCGACCAGGTGAGACGGAGCGTCACCAAAAGCCCGGCGCCAGGTGAGACGGAGCGCCACCGACAGCCCGGCGCCAGGTGAGACTGAGCGCCATCAACAGCCCGGTTCCAGGTGAGGCGGAGCGCCATCAACAGACCGCCGACGCTAGATGAGACGGAGCGTCACCAACAGCCCGGCGCCAGGTGAGACGGAGCGCCACCAACAGACCGGCGCCAGGTGAGAGCGACACTAACAGTACGGCGCCAGGTGAGACGGAGCGCCACCAACAGTACGGCGCCAGGCGGGACGGAGCGCCAACAGCCCGGCGCCGGTCGCCAATCGGTGAGCCGACATGGGCTGAGCGGAGAGGTGTGGTGCGTTTGTACGACACGATTTAAAAGGGAGGTGTGGTCAGTGGTTGTGACATTTGATAAGGTGGTTAAGGACAACTTGTCTTGCCATGAAATATTTCGATATAAATATCAACGAATTACCACATCTCCTGAGTTCCTGAGCTATGATTCGAGTTTGGCAATATAGGCCAGCTATAATAACTTGATGGTGCCTTTCCAGACAATTTATGCCACCGTCTGAGCGGCTGTCTGATGCCTCTGTGGCCGCCGACCCGCCAGGTGACGGTCCCCTCGGCCCTGTCCCGCCCCCAGACGGCCAGCGATGGGGCCGGCTCGGAGTCAGGCGCCTCCAGCTCGGCCGGCGGCGGCGCCTCCAGTCGACGGCGCCGCGCCGGCGGCCCCTCCGGCTCCAGCCGGAAGCCGCGGCGCCGGCGGCCACAGCCGCAGCAGCAGCAGCCGGTCATCGACGACACGCGCGGCTGCTTCTACAAGCTGGAGACGCTGTCGGACGTGAAGCTGCCCGACCTGAGCGAGTTCCGCTGCTGGGAGTGCAAGCTGCCGCTCACGCACCCCAAGCACATCACGTGAGTGCGCGCGCTGGCTCCGGTCGGTGCCGGGGCGTGTCGGTGATGTGCCTGAGGCGGGCGGGCCAGTGCCGCCGACACACAGCCTGCCACACACTTCCACCTCTGGGCTTCAGTTAGCGGTACCTAGCCATTTCTGTTGAAATTTATTCCATATTGTTCTGATATCTGCGGCCGCGCCGCGCGTGCTGTTCAGTACTCTTGACCCCACTGTTCCATTTTCGCTCACCAAGTTGGCTGGCCGCGACTTGGTCACCCTGACCCCAGTGACCGTGACTCCGGTGACCTCCAATGACTGTGTCCCAGCGACCGTCCCCTAGTAGCCGTGACCCCCCAGTGATCGTACCCCGGACGTGACGGCGTCCCGGTGACCTTTAATCCATTGTGACGCGACTGGTGTTCCGGCAGCGGCGTGTACGCGTGTAAGCGGTGCCGGTACACCACCTCGTGTGAGAAGATCTACCCGGTCCACCAGCGGGTGTTCCACTCGAAGGGCGTGGCGCCCGTGTTCACCATGGGTCAGCCGGTGCTGCTGGAGGCGGCCATGTACTGTCCGTGCGGCTTCAGTACCGACAGCGGCAACCGGCTCGGTCAGTCAGGCAGGGGACGGCGTGTACTGACAGGCAGAGAGAAGGGGGTAAAAGAGCCGCCGGCCAGGGACATGGGGAAACGTGTGCCACCGAATCAATAGGCGGGATCGATAGTTGGTTTCAAAGCCGACCATTGGAACCGGCCTAAGATATAGTTCACCTAATTATGATTATGTCCCTTTGTCCTATTACTGCAGCGTTTTGCGACTCACTGAGCATTTTGGGGAAATCATAGATTAGAAAAGGATGATTTTGCTGCGGTTGGTATATGGCTGACCTTGACTGAGTTCCATGTGTGACTTGGGCGCAAAATGACCTTTGCAGTCGACGCGCCCTAAAGCCCCAATAAACAACAACAACATGTGTGACTGCCTGTCGCTTCGGCCGTATGTCGCAGCAATCTGCATTTGACCCCCGCTCTGAGTACCATGTGTGACTGACTGTGGCCGCTGCTGTGTGCCGCAGCCCTGCACCTGAGCTCGTGCGAGCAGCGCACGGCCAGCCTGGTGCCGTTCGACGCCAACCTGAGCCACTCGTCGGGCGCCGGAGACGGGGACGCCGACGCCGAGATACCCATGGACGTGGATGCCGAGCTGAAACTGGAGCCCACCGAGACTGTGGACCTCTAACGGGCCGTGACGCGGAGCCGCGGTCAGCGGCCGCGCGTGGGACGGACACCGGGGCCGCCGGTGTGGGGAGACGATGTGATGGCCAGCTGAGCTCTCCTTTCAGTGCCCTGTCAGCAACGGGGAGACTCAGGGGCTCTGCTGGCCGACATTCCTGCTAGGAAAAGCATGTGTGTTCTCCAACGTTTGCAGGGAGTTTGGTAGTTCTGGTGCGGATCTTCGAGCAGCGGCTGCGCCGGAGCGCCGGACTGGCTGCTCCTCATTGTCAGGTGCTCTGACCAACCTCTGCAATTTGCTACCATTCATCATCTGATGATGCTTGTTCTAAAGTGTCTCGGTGCGATCGATCGACCGCTGCACTCAACTGGGGATCCCATTGCTCATGAATACATGTTTGTTTTTTATCGTTGTTTGATCATGAAGTGTCCTGGGTTGCAAAATACGGGCTAGTTGACAATGTTTTGACAATAGGCTGTTACAGCATGAATGTTGACTGCTGACCCAGCAGAGATGTTTTTCGCTACCGTTGAGGATCCAAGACTCGAAACTTCGAGCATCCATTCCAATGAATGATTCATCCACCGACAGTGCACGGCCCATCATGGACCGTCATGGTCATGGACCGTCATGGGTCATGGACCGGCCATGATCATCTAGCTGTTCACTGCACGTTGATGATCTGCTCACGAAATGCTTTTGACCAATCTGAGTGTGATTGGAAAGAAAATGAATCATTACTGACGTCATAGTACTATCGCTATGGAGTTCTATTGGTAGCATGCAGCTGTCGCGACGTCATTGTATTTGACCTTGGCTTTGGCAGTCGAACAGCTCTCGTCATTTCGTGTGTTGTTTACCTATGGTGTGTCGAGCATTTGGTGCCCAATGTGCCCAACTGAGTGTATTTTGATTTTGTTGATTTGAAAATGAGGATCTCAATATTTGGTTAGATGAATATTGTCTGAGCTGACAGATACTAATTATGTTTGAAGTCACTGATGAAGAGATAGGTAACCAGAAACCTGGAGAACCAACCAATGAAAATCAAAAAGAAATTGAAATGCCAGATCAAATGGAACTACTATCTCTGCCAAGTGAATTGCTTGAGTCAATTTGTTTTTACTTAGATATGCAGTCTCTGTGCTCAATATCTCAAGTGTGTTGGCGACTTAATAATATTCAAGAATCTGAGACAGTGTGGAAGACAGCATTTTTTAAAAGGTTTGTGACCAAGCCTTAGGCACTGTTTGTTTGCTATTTTTGACAGCAGGCCACTTCTTGGAATTTCACTAGTTGGATTCATGGAGGGCATTCGCTTCACCTTCAAGAGACTGAGAAATGGCCGGAGGTAGCTTCCATAAGAGGGAAATACGTTGCCTACTTGCTGACAGAAAACTACTGATGCTGATATTTCATGTTTCTGCTATTAGATGAAGTGAAGGGCATAGTGATGATGATAATTTATGATTTATAAAGTACTTTTGTCCTGATCATCATAGCAGAATTCTGCAACTTGCCAATTTGATGACATAGGTTACGAGGAAGCTAACTTTCAGGTATCCACGGCTGGAGCAGGGGAGTCACCAGCCTGAGCTCCAGTTGGCCTTGAAGCAGTCAGGGGACAGATGGAAACAGCTGGCAGCCTGGCACGTTTCTCTGGGCGCAGAGATCTGTGCCATGCTGGACGAAATGGGCAACAAGTACTTCACCATCGGCGGCCTGCCAGACCCGGCCATGCAGGAGATGAAGGAGCTGGTGTCCAGACACTGCACGGTTCTGGTGAAGGACCAGCTGCTGGACGTGCTGGACACAGAGCAGACTGACGGGTCAGTACAGCTCGGCCCTGCGGTCTGTCTGGCCCTTGGGGCAGGCTTTGGGCACGGGGCAGAATGACAGGTCACCTGCGTTATCTGCTGGCATTTCAGAGAATATAGTGATAGGTAAAGTATTTTGAATTTATTATTTGTTTAAAATTGTCACAATATTTGATGTTTAATTTTATGATTGATTAACTAGGTTTACCAAATTGTTGTAACTTGTTTTGGATTCCCTTACCTGTTCCCTTTTCTCTCAAATAATCCAATGCCATCTGTTGATGAATCTCTGTAGTTAATTAAAAGCTAAGGGCCTCTATAGATCCACTCTGTATCCTGCGCCATTTGGTCTGCATCTGCTGAGAGCCGTCCCCACTACCCGTTCCCGGTGCCCAGGTTCGAGCACATCTCGCGGCGGCACTACGCGCGCATGCTGTACCGCGAGCTGCACCGGGACGGCGTGCTGCTCCCGCTGTTCCGCGAGTTCATGCAGCGGCCCTCGGAGCACGTCAACATTCCCGAGGCCACCCACCTGATCGACCAGTGGATCACGCCGGAGCGGCGCCGCCGCAACGCCTCCGAGCTGCAGCAGTAAGGCCCAGGGGAGCGGGTGTCCGGGACAGCACGACACCGCCCCGGGATGTCCTTGGCAGTGACGGGGCCGCGGGGGAGGGGATGTCCGGTACAGCACGGCGCCGCCCCGGGGATGTCTCTGACAGTGGCTGGACTGCAGGGGAGGGGGTGTTCGGTACAGTACGGCGCCGCCCGGGGATGTCTCTGACAGTGGCTGGACTGCAGGGGAGCGGGTGTCCGGTACAGCACGGCGCCGCCCCGGGGGACGTCCTTGGCAGTGACGGGGCCGCGGGGGAGGGGGTGTCCGGTACAGTACGGCGCTGCCCGGGGAGGGGAGGGGGGAGGGAGAACGTCTCGGGCAGTGGCGGCACCGCAGTGGGGGGGGGGGGGGGGGAGTGGCACCGACCCAGACAGAGATGTGGGGCACGATCGCGAACAATGGCTTATGGCGGGTTCGGTTGAGGGACTGTATGTTACAGTTCACGACGAGTTCGGGATACCAACGGCCATTTACGGTTGACGACCGGTTGGGAGTATCACTAGCAAACTGCGTGACTACCGAATAACTGATTAATTGTAATAGTATAGTGCAGATTCGAGGGAGGTTAGGCCAGACTACCGCATTCGGTACTAGCCCATTAACGGCAATCTGTGGTCCCCCGTCATACGAGCCCCTCCCGTAGCACCGACTAACACCCGCCCGGGCCGCGTCTGCGACAGCCACTACCAGCACATCGCGGCGCTGTGTCTGCGGCAACTGCGCGCGGCGGCGCCGCACCACCCGGCCGCCGCCTGGGCGCGCTGCAAGGCCGACCCGTTCGGTCAGACGCTGTGGAGCGAGGCCGACGTGTTGGTCGTGCTCGACGCCGTCAACGCCGTACTCTACGACCAGCTGGACCTACTGGGCGACCAGGACGGCCGGCCGCGCACCGGATACGCCGCCGTGGCACACCAGGTCGGTATCGGTATCGGGCGATCAGGTGGGTGGCCTCGGGAATGTTGACGTGCTCTGAGAGTCGCTGCATGAACTTGCGGAACAGGGGCACCAGCGCGCCGTCCCGGTGCAGGTCTCGGTATCGGAGTCGGCACATAGGTAGCGCGGGGCTCGGTGGGACGATCGCTATGAAAGATGCTTGTTAGTGAAGAACTATCAGTGCTATTTCCCTTGCATGGATGATCGACACCTGGGGCGTTCCACGACAAATCGACAAATAAAAAATTAAATTTGCACCCTCATATTTTATTCTTCGTTGAAAACTGGTGTAAGGGGTTGTGATGGGCGGGGAAGCCAGCTGTGGCAAGGATTTTTTTCTTCGAACAACGGTTTCCGAGATATAGCCTCGGGCAATTCCTGGAGTTCGCGCTGCAGCCCTATGTTTGGCGGCCTATAACTCAGAAACTATTGGTTTTTACGATAAAAACTTTATATGGTTCAACTCACAATCAACCAACAAACATTTTGGCTATCTCGAATTTTCAATTTTTGAAAATTTTGATCACGTGACCTTTTGTCCTATTTTTCGAAGAGTGACCTTGGTATTTTCCCCACTGAAAGTTGCAATTTTGTCTGATGACGATTAAAGCCTTATCGATTGTCATTCATATGCGATAATAAAAAAGTGGTTATCGCCCTGCGTTGACCTCAGGTCAGGTCATTTTTATGACCTGTCCATTATTATGAGCGGGACCGACAGCGAGATCTCGAGAATAAAGCAAGATAGCGACAAGCGGTAAACGGTTAAGGGTACACACGGATAAGTTCTATAACTTTTACTAAGGTCATTTTCAGGTCAGGTCAAAGCTGACGTCACAGGAGCTAAAAGGAAGTCAAAATAGCGGCACTATACATATATATGAAGTTTTTCTCGAATAACTTTCAAGGTATCCCAGCTAGGAACAAACTAATAGCACCATCGTGATCCTCTCGTCGATCCGCATCGAAACATATGTATGTTGACCTCGAAAGGTCGAAAGGTCAAAAGTTGACCTTAGATCACGTGACCTAAGGTCAACTTTTGACCTTTCGACCTTTCGAGGTCAACATACATATGTTTCGATGCGGATCGACGAGAGGATCACGATGGTGCTATTAGTTTGTTCCTAGCTGGCATACCTTGAAAGTTATTCGAAAAAAACTTCATATATATGTATAGTGCCGCTATTTTGACTTCCTTTTAGCTCCTGTGACGTCATCTTTGACCTGACCTGAACATGACTTTAATAAAAGTTATAGACCTTATCCGTGTATACCCTTTACCGTTTACCGCTTGTCGCCATCTTGCTTTATTCTCGAGATCTCGCTGTCGCTCCCGCTCGTAATAATGGACAGGTCATAAAAATGACCTGACCTGAGGTTAACGCAGGGCGATAACCACTTATTTTATTATCGCATATGAATGACAATTGATAAGGCTTTAATCGTCATCAGACAAAATTGCAACTTTCGGTGGGGAAAATATCAAGGTCACTCTTCGAAAAATAGGACAAAAGGTCACGTGATCAAAATTTTCAAAAATTGAAAATCCGAGATAGCCAAAATGTTTGTTGGTTGATTGTGAGTTGAAACATATGAAGTTTTTATCGTAAAAAATAATAGTTTCTGAGTTATAGGCCGCCAAACACAGGGCTGCAGCGCGAACTCCAAGAATTGCCCGAGGCTATATCTCGGAAACCGTTGTTCGAAGAAAAAAATCCTTGCCACAGCTGGCTTCCCCGCCCATCACAACTCATTAGACCAATTTTAAGCAAAAAATAAAATATGAGGGTGCAGGGCACTTGTCGATTTGTCGTGGAACGCCCCACCTATAAGAATCGCGTTGAGAGCAGCAGTAAGTTGACGAAACTCGTCGCTGTGTCGCAGTGGCGCTTGTTCCGTGCCTGATGTGTTGTCAGTCACCCGGACCCCCTCCCACCTTCCCACCGACCCGTCGGACCGGAGACCTGCCACTGAATATACCGGTCGCTGTCGGCAGCCGTTCGGCGGTGTGAACTGACTGACTGAGATGTCTCTGTCTCGGCAGCTGTTCGGCGGTGTTGACTGACTGACTGCTGTCTCTGTCTCGGCAGCTGTCCGGCGGTGTGGACTGACTGACTGCTGTCTCGGTGTCGGCAGCTCAAGCTGTACTGCGGTGTAGACTGACTGACTGATGTCTCTGTCTCTGCAGCTATTCTGCGGCGTGGACGCCGGCGACGTGAACCCGCGGGCGCTGCTCTCGGCACTGTACGCCACCGTGGCCGGTCTGCTCGGCGTCAACATGTTCCCCGTCCGGTTCCCCGGCAACAGCCTGCTCCGCTGGCAGACCAGGTCGGTGGACGGGCGGGGGACTGGTGGGCGGGCTGTGCACGGGCGGGTACAGCTGTGGACGTGCTGGGACGGGTAGACGGGCGGGGGCAGCAGACTGTGTGCTCGGAAGGAGACGGGTGGCGGATGGGACAGTGGTAGTAGGCGGTATGGACGTGAGCCTAATTCGTTGGACTGTCCGGTGAAGTTATGACTGTCGTGAGAGATGGCGACTGGCTTTTAACTTGGCTTTAGTTAGATTGGAGAAATCGGAGCTCACAGGACATGAGGCCGCAACTGCAGTTTTACAATAGTGCAATCACATGTATGAGTCAGTCTAACACAAGCCAAGTATAGTCTGTGTAATCTGTACCAGTCTCTGTGTCTCCATGTATTGGGGAGGTGTGCCAGTAGCCTGTCCCGGTGGTGACGCCCGCTGTCCGTCCGCTCGCACAGGGACGGCTCCGACAGTCTGTTTGTGTCGGTGATGCGCGCCGGCCTGCGTCAGACCCGGGACGAGATCATGGCCAACCCGTACCTGCGCATCAGGAACGTGGGCCACGAGTCGTTCGAGCCCATCCCGCGACACGAGGTGAGCTGCCGGGCCGAGCGAGACGGCGCCCGCTGCGGCCGGTCGCCTATACAGTGGAGATCGGAGGGGGACGTAGCTGGCTAGCCCGGTGGCAGGCTGAGGGGAGCTGCTCGGCCCCGTGGTCGGACTATAGGGGGCTCTTAATGCTGCCCCGCCTCTTTTGGAAGGAAGCTTTTGCTGCTTTATCAACGGTTCGTCATTTAAAAAAAAAAATGATAATGGCATACATGCTGGTGTGGTATGGATATTGGATAAGGCTGATACTGTTAGTGATGCGGTCCGCTTAAAAATACCTATTGTTGATTTTGCCACCATGTTAACGTCATTTTGAACCCGGGACATTGTTCTAACACCAATGCCAAAAGTACCTAACTCTTATGATACCTTCTGTCTGTTCTGGTAGTAGTCGATAAAATATCAGCTCGTACCTCGATTTGCGCTGTAACCATGTCTGTCCGACCGGCCTGGTTTGTCTGTGCCATCACTCCCTCCCCTGTGAACTTTTCTGTATAACCCTCAGACCCTTTGTAACCCCCGGACCCTGTGTAACCGCGGGTTCTGTCAGCTGCTGAACCGTCTGGTGGTGGGGATCATGGCCGGCCACCGGACCGCCCCTGTGTAGCCCCTAGACTCTGTGTAACAGCTGCTGAACTGCATGGTGGTGGGGATCATGGCCGGCCACCGGACCGCCCCTGTGTAGCCCCTAGACTCTGTGTAACATCGGACCGCCCCTGTGTAGCCCCTAGACTCTGTGTAACAGCTGCTGAACCGTCTGGTGGTGGGGATCATGGCCGGCCACCGGACCCCCCCTGTGTAGCCCCTAGACCGCCCCTGTGTAACCCCTGGACCCTGTGTAACCCCCGGACCCTGTGTAACACCGGACCGTCCCTGTGTAACAGCTGCTGAACCGTCTGGTGGTGGGTATCATGGCCGGCCACCGGACCGCCCCTGTGTAACCCCTGGACCGCCCCTGTGTAACCCCCGGACCGTCCCTGTGTAACCCCCGGACCGTCCCTGTGTAACAGCTGCTGAACCGTCTGGTGGTGGGGATCATGGCCGGCCACCGGACCGTCCCTGTGTAACCCCTGGACCCTGTGTAACAGCTGCTGAACCGTCTGGTGGTGGGGATCATGGCCGGCCACCGGACCGCCCCTGTGTAGCCCCTAGACTCTGTGTAACATCGGACCGCCCCTGTGTAGCCCCTAGACTCTGTGTAACAGCTGCTGAACCGTCTGGTGGTGGGGATCATGGCCGGCCACCGGACCCCCCCTGTGTAGCCCCCGGACCCTGTGTAACCCCCGGACCGTCCCTGTGTAACAGCTGCTGAACCGCCTGGTGGTGGGGATCATGGCCGGCCACCGGACCGCCCCTGTGTAACCCCCGGACCGCCCCTGTGTAACAGCTGCTGAACCGTCTGGTGGTGGGGATCATGGCCGGCCACCGGACCCCCCCCTGTGTAGCCCCCGGACCCTGTGTAACCCCCGGACCGCCCCTGTGTAACAGCTGCTGAACCGTCTGGTGGTGGGGATCATGGCCGGCCACCGGACCGCCCCTGTGTAACCCCGGACCGCCCCTGTGTATCAGCTGCTGAACCGTCTGGTGGTGGGGATCATGGCCGGCCACCGGACCGCCCCTGTGTAACCCCCGGACCGCCCCTGTGTAACAGCTGCTGAACCGTCTGGTGGTGGGGATCATGGCCGGCCACCGGACCGCCCCTGTGTAACCCCGGACCGTCCCTGTGTAACAGCTGCTGAACCGTCTGGTGGTGGGGATCATGGCCGGCCACCGGACCGCCCCTGTGTAACCCCGGCCCCTGTGTAACCCCCGGACCGTCCCTGTGTAACAGCTGCTGAACCGTCTGGTGGTGGGGATCATGGCCGGCCACCGGACCGCCCCTGTGTAACCCCCGGACCGCCCCTGTGTAACCCCTGGACCCTGTGTAACCCCCGGACCGTCCCTGTGTAACCCCCGGACCGCCCCTGTGTAACCCCCGGACCGTCCCTGTGTAACAGCTGCTGAACCGTCTGGTGGTGGGGATCATGGCCGGCCACCGGACCGCCCCTGTGTAACCCCCGGACCGTCCCTGTGTAACCCCCGGACCGTCCCTGTGTAACAGCTGCTGAACCGCCTGGTGGTGGGGATCATGGCCGGCCACCGGACCGCCCACCTCACCGACGCCGACCTGCTGTCACTGAACGCACTGGCCGTCTGGTCCGAGACCGACTGCCGGCTCGGCTTCCCGCTGCTGCACGAGCTTTCGGAGGTGTTCGGCGGCATCCGGCCCATGTACATTCACGACCTCACTCAGGTGGGTACAACTTACCTACATCCACGACCTCACCCAGGTGGGTACATCCACGACCTCGCGCAAGTGGGTACAACTTACCTAGATCCACGACCTCACGCGGGTGGGTACATTACCCACAACATTTTTCAGGTGGTCAGCTGTGCAGTGTGCAGCTGCCGTCCTGGCAGCAGACGTGCGATTTTGCTACCGCAGAATCGCAGACACCAATTTGACTAATAATTTGACTGGGGCTATCACCCCAGGCTCCCAGTCATGCAGAGCGATCGTCGTCACGTAAACCTTTCCAATGTTCATTCTAGAATGTGTGGATCGATTGGTGTCTGAGAATGTCCTTTATGGGTGATATATACTTACTCCCTTGCCAGCCCACCCTCTGCCTGTTTCGTGCGGCACTGCTAGAAGGCTTTACACCAAACTCGAACGATATTCTGCCTCGCGACAGTGAGACGCATTGATCGGTTTATCCCGACTATTGCTGCTAGTCTGTGAGTGAGTTGGTGTGTGTCGGTTTGGCGACTGACCGCGGCACCGCCAGCTGCCGTGTGATTCCGCGTGTCGATTTGACCGGTGGATGGCGTTAGCCTGTTTGACCGATGTGTACCGCCGCTGTCAGGAGTTTCTGGAGCAGCACGACGGCACGCTATCGGAGGAGGAGCGGGAGGGACTGCGTGACTCCAAGGAGCTCATGAAGCAGCGCTACGAACAGATCCTGCAGGAGCTCCGTAGACACAAGGAGGTGAGCGGACACCCAGACGACTACAGCAGTCCCGGACTGTCGGGGACCAGTCAGTTCTATTACACCGAGTACAATTAGTGCTACAGCGATCAATTTCAGAATTTGATTGCCTATGGGTTTCCAGCTTTGTCGACGTCCTTAGACACGTTCTATTTTCTCCCGTGAGTTGCCTTTGCTCGTGCTGCTGGCCATACTATAAGGCTGTGCTGATTAACTGCTGTTCATTTGTCGTTAAATCGGCCATGGTGGTGTCACATATGAACAGAACTCAGCATCTGCGCGCCGGTCTGACCTCGATGTTCCATGTTACCCGAGCCCTGTGCTTGACCTCTGCGCTTCGTCGTGCAGGTGGTGTGTCTGTCCCGCTCTTAGGTCTGTCCTATGGATGGTGTGTCTGCGCCGTTCTTACCTCCCCCGCCCCATCCATAGATGGTCTGTCTGTGGTCTGACCTCTGCCCCCGTTCCACAGGTGGTGTGCCTGCGCCGCAACGCGGCGCCGGTGCAGCGGCGGTTCCGTGTGGGCGACATAGTGCGCCACCGGCGCTACCACTACCACGCCGTGGTGGCCGGCTGGACCGAGCGGTGTGACGCCACAGAGGTGGGTTCACAGAGGCTGCACTACTGTATATAGACCGAGCGCTGCGACGCCACAGAGGTGGGTTCACAGAGCGTCACAGAGATGGGTTCACTGAGCGCCACTGAGGTAGGCTCGCTCAGCGCCACAGTTGTTGGTTCACTGGGCGCTACCATAGACCGAGCCGAGAGCGGTGTGACGCCACAGAGGTGGGTTCGCTCAGCGCCACAGAGATGGGTTCACTGAGCGCTGCAGAGGTGGGTTTAACAGGCGCTACTATAGACCGAGAGCGGGCTGACGCCACATACAGGGTGTCCCATAAGTTCGTTCTCACCTAAATTTTACGTTTTTAGGCTCTCTTGCTTAAAGGCACGCTGAAATTGGTTCGTAACTGAGCTTACGTGGTTGCCATGGCTGGTAGAAATATGCTCCACAGTAGCTAATTTCTGTAGACAAAATAGTTTTTGCTATAGAGCCCGCTTCCTACAGAGACGGCTAACGCCGCAACATAGAGGTCTCCGATACGGGTACGTCTCAGTATTTAGTCAGCACGTGACCATTCGCGACGATTGAGGGTGATTGAGGCCTACCAGTCTGTAGCCAATGTCCATCGCTAACTGGACGCACAGTCAGCAAGTGACACCGATGATTTGTCGGGAGTCAGTCACTGCAAGTTTATCCTCTTTCCAGTCAGCCCTCAGGAGTGAGCCAAGTGGCCAAAACTGTGTGGCGCCAAAGTGGCCATCAAAAAGGTCAAAGGGTTACAAAGTTTGTAAGCAGACTTTTCAGGATGGATTACCAGCTGTCTAAGAGTGTTCTTTCGGGGTACATAACTCAAGGTGACTTAACCCGCGCCCCGTAGGGCTACCGGCGGACCCTACCACCCGTAGGGGGGGGGGGGCCGTTTCGGCCCCCCCCCCCTAAGATCTCGGAAAGTTACCGGCCGATTTTCAAAATTCAAACGGCGTTCGATAGCCCCACCCGGGAACTACCTTGTGACCAAATTTCATTGACCTAGGTCAAACCGATGACGTCACAGGTCAGGTCAAAGGTCAGATTTTCACCGTTCACAGGCATTTCAAGAAATGTGTTGTGCAATCGAGTTAATTGGTAATTTATTGAAAACCATCGATGGTACATTGTTCGTCAAACACATACTTTGCTATCTGAGGTCACTGATACCAGGTCAGGTCACAGCAAGATCAGGTCACCGGGGTCACAATATGAAAGTGTCGTGTGATACATGTTTTATGGTCCATTTTACATGACAAATGCGATTATGTGGGTTAGGCAGCCTTTGGGGCCAGCCTAGGTCACGTTTTGGTGAAGGTCAGGTCAAGGTCAGGTCAAATAAGGGCAAATTTCAAAGTTGATATTTTTGCATAAAATGGGTATCGATTCGATGCAGTTCGTCACGGGGAGTCTAATGGTGGTCTTTGTTTTGCTCTACAAGGTCTAGAACTGCCAAAAATTGAGTTTGAAAATTTGACGTCATCAATTTTGAACAGTTTTTTCGCTATAACTTGGCCAAAAAACGAGGTATCGATCTGAAATTCGGTATGTAGATAGAAGACGGTAGGTACTATCACATATATTCCGGTTTTTTTGAAACTCAAAAAACGTTTTGGATTTTTTGGCTAATATATCCAAAAAAATGTTTTTTTGATTTTTCGGGTTCAAAACTCAGAAAATTTCAAAAATCCGAGATAGCAGTTTTGTGGCCCTGTCAATTCTACACCTTTTATGTTTTGATCATTTTTCTGTATCTTCAAAGCTGTAGGCCTGACAGGTCTTCTCGCGAAGGTCTTTTTTCGGTCGAAAATGACAGAACATGACGTCATTCTGACGTCATTTGTGGCCAACCTATCATAGCCTCTGGAAAAATTTTTGGTCACAATGTGTAAAATTGATGCCCGGTGGGGTCCTGAAAGTTTGGTGGCGATATCTGAAGCGGTTTAGGAGATATCGACCGAAAAGGACAGGGGGGGGGCCGTTTCGGCCCCCCCCCTACGGGGCGCGGGTTAAGCTTTGCTTACCGGAGGACTCAAAACAGTCAAAAACGTCTTAAAATGGCCAAACATGAGTTTCGTTATGCCTGAGGCTAAACAAAACAGATGGCTGATGACATCAACTAGGTCATCAGGACTAACTAGTCCACGTTCGAAAGGAAACACCCGTCCAAACCCGAAAACAACCCCATAAGGGCGAAGGAGGAGGCCTCCGTTTCGTCCCGTTATGTTCCTATGCAAAAGGTCAGGGTCACTGTGTTGTGGGATTATAGGCGTTCTGGAGTTGACCAAGTTGCAAGTGGCAACCCAGAAACAGTTTTGGGAAGCAGAATGCTTTTCCAAGAACATCTAGGAGGAGTTTCAGCCCTCAAGCTGAACTCGAACCGCGAGTATGAACATATTTATAGAGGAGAAAATGGCATCCGGGAGGTCGTAGGCCCATCTTCAGGCAAGACAGTGCATCAGTGCACAGGTCAAGCAAAGCTTAAAAGCGGTGCAAGGAGACTGTGACAGGCATTTGTGGCAAGATCACATGCCAGGCACCTCATTGGATCAAAATTTCATAAAAATTTGTTGGTTATGCTGAAATTGAGGCTCGTCGAAGCGTAGCGCTGTTCCAGCCTCGAGGAGCTCACGGCGCATGTCAAGTCAGTCTGGGTTAACTTTAAGCCTACTATGCAGCCAAACATGCCGGTTGGCATGCTGCAGCATGTATTCATGTGTTTGCCTATTAAATGAGGAGCCTATTGAGGGGTCATAAATATATTAAAACGCAATGTACTCTGTTTCACATGCAAACATAATGTGAGAACGAACTTATGGGACACCCTGTAGGTGGGTACCGACCCGGGCAGATTGGTCACTCAGTGTGCGCATCATTCACGGATATCTGACTACTACATAGATTTGTGACAGTTATTGTATTTACAATTTTGTTTGTCTCCTTCAGTTGACGCTCTACTCGGAAATAGTTATTTTCCGCTGATAGCATTATGTACAGCACGAACCATTTCTGTAACGAGTCAGTGGACTAAAACACGTCTCTGGCCGGTAAGAGGCCACGACCCCGTCCGCGGGGTCGGTGACCTTCTCTCCCGCATTATTATGGGTACGTAACGTGCCGCAGTGTGCAGTGTACAGTGTACACGGCACCCGGCTGAGTCTGATCAATGGCTCGACATTGAGATGCCGTGGACAGACTCATCTCCGTCTTGTGGACGATGCCAATGTCCGCCTGCCCTGGCCGCAGACTGATTTTTCGTCTCTTTCCCCTGGTTTATAATGCTGTTTTATTTACGAGCGTATCCAGTGAGCTGGTGAATTAGTACGGCGCCGGGTAGACTGGTCGCTTTATGGACCTGTCCTATTCACGGAAGCGGGGTGGTGGGTACCCATGTGTCGCCGGATGATGCGCCCGTTTTATGGACCCGCCTGGTTGGCAGGGGAGGAGTTTGCGTCCTTGGATTGGCTGATCACTTTATGACCTTTCCACTTTATTGGGGATGGACTGGGTGTGCGTCATCGGACGCTGGGTGCGATTTACGAACGCGTCTAGTTGACTAAAGTGCAGTCATATACCGCCGGATAGACCTTGTTTTATGGTCCTGCCGAGTTTACGGGGAGGGGTGCGCTTCGCCAGCTGATGGGGCGTTCGTTTTGCGGATCTGCCCGTTGTCTCTGGGAGGTTTACCGCCGGCCAGTGGTGTTACCATGTCAGCAGAGGATAAACTCTGACACTTTTCTGTATCCCGTAATTAAGGACGGCGCAGTAGTTGAGCCAGCGTTGCCCAATCAAGCGCACAAATGGAATGAGCTGGCAAATAATAGTGAGCGCTAAGTTTGATTGCTACCATACATTCCCGTGTTCATTGCATCCTTTGTCCTTTGCCGTTAATTGTGTGGCGTATCGGTGCTCCGTGGGTAGTAAACCCTGTTCCTCCAACGCGCTCTCCAAATACAGAATCGTTGCATTGACTATTCTTTACTTCTTGCAATATTTTGGTAACCAATAATGGTTTTTCACTTTAGGAGTTTAGACTTTACTTTGGAGGCCTCTTTACGCCGCAGCTGTTAAGGCATGATCCAGTTTCGAGCCGGATCCTGCGATATCGGGACATGCAAGGTCCATTTGTCTCTTGCCAAAAAAAAAGAACTGTCCGCTGTGCACCCCTGCTGCGTGCCGTTCCTCTCCTAGGCCTCTCGCTGTTTTAACCTGTCGCTGCCAGGGCTGGATCAAGCAGATGACCGACGTGGACCGCCATGTATGTTATGTTCCCCAGGCCTCTCACTGTGTTATCCTGTTGCTCCCAGGGCTGGATCGAGCAGATGGGCGTGGACCGGTGTGTGCATTATGTCCCCAGACCTCTAGCTGTATGCACCTGTCGCTGCAGGGCTGGATCGAGCAGATGGGCGTGGACCGGTGTGTGCATTATGTCCCCAGACCTCTAGCTGTATGCACCTGTCGCTGCAGGGCTGGATCGAGCAGATGGGCGTGGACCGGTGTGTGCATTATGTCCCTAGACCTCTCAGTGTGTTATCCGTCGCTGCAGGGCTGGATCGAGCAGATGGGCGTGGACCGGTGTGTGCATTATGTCCCTAGACCTCTCAGTGTGTTATCCGTCGCTGCAGGGCTGGATCGAGCAGATGGGCGTGGACCGGTGTGTGCATTATGTCCCCAGACCTCTAGCTGTATGCACCTGTCGCTGCAGGGCTGGATCGAGCAGATGGGCGTGGACCGGTGTGTGCATTATGTCCCTAGACCTCTCAGTGTGTTATCCGTCGCTGCAGGGCTGGATCGAACAGATGGGCGTGGACCGGTGTGTGTATTATGTCCCCAGACCTCTCACCGTGTTATCCGTCGCTTCCAGGGCTGGATCGAGCAGATGGGCGTGGACCGGTGTGTGTATTATGTCCCCAGACCTCTAACTGTGTGTTATCCGTCGCTGCAGGGCTGGATCGAACAGATGGGCGTGGACCGGTGTGTGTATTATGTCCCCAGACCTCTAACTGTGTTATCCTGTTGCTCCCAGGGCTGGATCGAGCAGATGGGCGTGGACCGGCTGCCGCTGGGCCGGCACCAGCCCTTCTTCAACGTGCTGGCCGAGGACCGTACCACGCGCTACGCCGCCGACGGTAGGTGCCGGACCCGGTGGGGCCGGCGCGCGGGGTCTGCTCCGCCGGGTGTGTCCCATCCCCTGGCCGGGTCCTATCCCCTGCCTGTATCCTCTCTCTCGTAAAAGATCGCGCTAACATGTGCTACTCTTCAACCCAACCTAAAAATGCATCGCTCTCTGCTTCAAACTTTTCCGTTTCTGCTCATTCGTAACCACTACTGTCATTTAGCAGTCACTTCTACCCATAACTTAGCGCTATTCAGTCTGATATCGTGTATGTAGCACCGTGGGAGCATTCACACCTCCACCTGAGCAACTTTGAGTCGTATATTTATTGGTGGCTCCGCTGCAACAGTGCGCGGGCAGTCACACGCAGGACCGAGTACCATTCAGTGGTATATTTCCCGGACGGAGTGTCGGTGTGACAGCTGTAACACTGCAGAGGCACTCACAATACACACGCCGCTCCGAGAACCCCTCAGCACTGGGCCGTATCGGCCAGGCGGCCGCCGCCGACCGCGGCTCAGGCGGGCGGAAAGACGGCGGTCGCGGGTCAGCAGACCCGTGCATAAACTCTGAGAGGGATGGGCGCCGTCACGCGCTCACACACACATCACAGCAGTGAGCGGCCGGTCGGCCCGTGACGCACAGTGCCAACACTGGGCGGAGCTGGCGGGCGGTCGTGGCAGGGTCATTGCACGTGACGTCAGCACCGCCGACGGACGAGGCTGAAGAAACAGAAACGGAGAAGTGTGCGGTATTGTTAGTCTTCCCTTAATCAAAATAATGGTTATGGGTGACGCCTCTACATTAAAACTACCAAGGCATTATTGGCTATATACGTCACGGCAAGCTTGTCGTAAGTCTTGGGGCATTATTTTCGGACTCACTTATATGAATCATTTCAGTCGCATTCCAGTATTGTTTTTCGTTGTCACAGCAGTCTGGTTTCGGGATACAATACCCGATTGGCTTTTGGAATGCTCGGTGCACACTTTATCTTCGGCGAATAGACAAGCTCGGTACGTGCGTTCACGGCATTTGCACTCCGGTGTAACACAGCATATTTTCTGGCCGGGCCCGGCGCCCTGTCTCCGTGTCGGTATCCGCGCCGCTGTGGTATCGGGCGGGCTCTCAGGGGTACATCTGTGCGCCGGTACGCAGCGGGCTGTAGCGGTTGACGGCCGCCCACATGACGGCCAATCCGGCGGACAGCGCCGACTCGCCGTCCTCCAGCCGGTAGACGGGCCCTCTGATCACCTGTCCGGTGAGGTAGCAGCGCAGCAGCCGGCCATGGCCCGGCAGCTGGCAGCCGGGCACGCGCACCGCGCCGCGGTCGCCGCCGGCGGCGCGCGCCTCCTCCAGCAGCGTGTGCACGTGCTGCAGGGTGAGGCGCGGCGCGCGCTGTGACACCAGCGGCAGGCCGGCGGCCGTGTGCCGCAGCATCAGCTCGGCCACCGAGTGGTGGCCGCGCCGCAGAGCCGCCCGGCCGCCGGCGAACCCGGCCAACGCGCACAGCGACGGCAGGAAGCCCGACAGCCGGCCGGCGTGGCGGCGCGGCACGGCGGCGCACAGCTGCGCCAGCCGCAGCGCCGACTGCTGGTCCTCGGCGTCCTCCGACAGCAGCCGCGAGTCCAGCAGCGTCAGCGCCAGCGCCAGCGCCGCCTCCAGCTGGCCGGACAGCAGCAGCAGCGTCACCTGCTCCTCGTCCTCGGCGCCGCCGGCCTCGGCGCGCGACTGCGCTCGGGCCCGGCACTCGGCCGCGCTGCCGAAGCCGGCCAGCCGGAACGCCTGCTCGGCGCGCGCCTCGTCTCCGGTGGCGGCAATGGCCAGCTCTCGCAGTCCCTGCTGCCGCTCGGCGGGGTCCTGCACGAGCTGGAGCAGCGCCACGCCCGTCGGCCAGTCGCCGTCGGCGTGGCAGCGGCGCGCCAGCCCGGTGAGCGCCTCGGTCAGCTCGGCCGACTGCGGCGGCGGCGCCGTCCCGGCCGCGGCGGCCAGCAGTCGGTACAGCAGCACGGCCAGCTCGCGCAGGTGGCCGCGCACCAGCGCGCGCACACAGCCCGGCACGTCGTCGACGGCCAGGTGGCAGCAGGCGGCCAGCACGGGCCGGCCGCGCGACAGGTGCCACTCGGACGCCTGCTCGGCGGCCTCCAGCAGCTCTGCCCTGTCGTCGGCCGGCGCCGGCGGCGGTCCGCGCTCCGGGGAGGCGGACACATCATCCTCAGCCGGCTGCGAGGGCGGGCCGCCGCGCATGGCCTGCACCATGGCGTCCTCGAGCACGGCCAGCGGCTCTCCGCGGCGCCGGTGCAGCTCGGCGGTGAGCTGCGGCCGGCCGGCGGCCAGGCTGAGCGCCACCAGGCCGTCCGAGTCCTCGGCCAGCAGCTGGGCGGCGCGCCGCTCCGCCAGCCGCCGCCAGTAGTCGAGCGACACGCCCGGCGCCAGCGCCAGCGCGCGCTCCCACTCCCCGAGCTCGAGCAGCGTGTCGCAGTGGCGGCGCAGCTCGCCGCAGCGCAGGTAGAGATCGGCGGCGGCGCGGCGCGCGGCGGCCGCTCCGCCGCCGGCGCTCAGCCGCTCGGCCGGCGGCGCGCGCTCCAGCCGCGCGGCGCGGCTGGTCAGCGCCGCCACCAGGTGGCGCTGGTGCACCACGCCGTCCGAGTACTCTGCGGACAGCTTGGCCGGGTCCGTCTCCCCCAGCTGCACGGCCACCAGGTCCCAGAGGTTCTGCGCGTCCGGGTCGGGCGTGAACAGAGCGCCGACGAGCCGCAGCCGGTCGGCGGCAGACGACCAGCGGCCGCGCAGCAGCGCCGCCGGCTCCCCGGCCAGCAGCGGCTCCTGGTGCGGCGACAGCAGACTGCTGGCCTCCGCCGGGTCGGCCAGCACCTCGGCGGCCCGCTCCGTCACCAGGGCGCGGCAGTGCAGCAGGCTGAACAGCGGCGCCAGGTCCCAGAGGCGCACCGTCGAGTCCCGCGAGCAGCTGACCAGCAGCAGCGGCCGCGCCGGGTGCAGGCTCAGACCGTACACGTCGGCCGCGTGCTCCTTGATGACGTGCAGACAGCGGCCGGCGCGCGCGTCCCACACGCGGATCGTGTAGTCCCACGAGCCGGAGACGAGCACGTGCGCCAGCGCCGGGCACCAGGCGAGGCCGCGCACGTGGCTGTGGTGGCCGCTGAGCACGCGCAGACACTCGCCGCTGTCCGTGTCCCAGACGCGCACCGTGCCGTCGTCAGAGCCGGAGGCCAGCACGTGCTCCAGCACCGGGTTCCAGCGCACCTGGAACGCGCGCTCCACGTGGCCCTTGAGCACGAGCAGCGGTGCCGACTGGTTGCGGGTGACGTCGAACACGCGCACGGCGCCGTCCTTGCAGCCGGTGGCCAGCCGCGCGGCGTCGCGCCAGGCGCAGCCGTACACGCCGGCCGGGTGCCGGTAGGTGTGCAGCAGCGTGCCGTCCAGCTGGCGCACCACGCACGTGCCGTCACCGCCAGCCGACGCCAGCCGGCGCGAGTCGACGCCGTTCCAGCTGACGCTGTACACGCAGTCGGAGCCGTGCTCGCGGAACTGTTTGACCACGCGGTGCTTCTGCAGGCTCCAGACGAGCACGCCCTCGGTGGAGGTGGCCGCCGCCAGACAGTCGAGGTCGGCCGGCGCCCACGACACAGCGTACACGATGGTACTGGCCCGGTGCTCGTCCACCGGCTGCAGGCTGCGCGCGCTCCACACCTTGATGGTGCCGTCGAACGAGCCGGTGGCCAGCCGCTCCTGGTGGCCCGGCTGGAACTGCGCGTCGAAAATGGTCTCGGTGTGGCCGGACTCCTGCAGGAACTCCCAGCGGCGCGACGTGAGACACAGCACGCCCACGCCACCGTCCCCGAACACGGCGAGCAGGCGGCCGGGCGGGGCGCCGCCGCCGCCGCCGCCGCCGCCGCCGCCGCCGCCGCCGCCGGCCGGCGCGCCGCCCTCCCCGGCCAGCAGGCGCGCGCCGTGGAAGCCGGACGCCTTGACGGCTGTGCGCTGGAGCGGCGCGGCGGCGCCGGCGCTGTACACAGACAGCACGCCGCTCTCCGTGTCGGCCGCCAGGAACACGCCGGGCGCGTTGGTGAACCAGGCCAGGTGGCAGTCGCCGCCGGTCGACGGCCGCTCGAACGCCATGATGGCCGTGAACTGGGCCGTGTCGACCAGCAGCAGGCCGGTGTGCTGCTGGCAGAGCAGCAGGTAGTCCTCGGAGAGCGGGTCCCAGGCCAGCGCCGTGACCGGCTGGTCGCGCTCGGCGTGCGGCTCGGGCAGCGGCACGTGCCGGCGCACCCGGCCGCCGTCGGTGGGCACCAGGCTGACGGTGCCGTTCCGGTGGCCGACGGCCAGTTTTCGGCGGCGCGGGTGCCAGGCCAGCTGCTGCACCTCGGCGGCAAACGGCGAGCTGCAGTCGGCGCGCAGCGGCGCCGGGCTGTCCGAGTCCAGACACCGCCAGACGAGCAGCGGCCCGCGCGCGCCGCTCACCACCAGCTGGTCGGCGTCGTGCGGGCTCCAGGCGATGAGCCGCGCCGGGGCCGGCAGCGCGGCGCGCGCCACCACGCGCTGCTCGGCCACGCTCCAGGCGCACAGCTGGCGGTCGCCGCCCGCGGTGGCCAGCAGTCCGCCCGGCAGCCAGTCCAGGCAGCTGATGAGCTTGCTGTGGCCGGTGAGGATGGAGTCGAGCCGCCAGACGCCGCGCCGGCCGCGCGACTCGCGGTACACGTACACGGACTGGGTGGCCGCGTACGCGAACCACGGCCCGGCCGCCACGCACAGGTTGGGGTTCCACGGCTGGCAGCCGGCGGCCAGCAGCCGCAGCTGGCGCACCGGCTCCATGGCGCCAGCACCGTCACCGACACCGGCGTGAGTCGTCACCGATACCGACGTGAGCCGACGCTGTTACTGACACGATTTCGGCGTGAGCTGTCACCGACACCGGTACTGACTCTAGCGTGAGCCGTCAGTGTCAGTGGCGTGAGGTGACACTATCAGCGGCGTGAGGCGACACCGATG